CATGATAAACTGACTAACAAGTGACTATTTCTTACTTAATTTTCAATAATTTAGAAATACATATGTTATTTAACCACAATAATTTATGAATATAATCATATTTTAGGCATATCAACTTTGTTCTATTCATCAAATAATAATGTTACACCAACCATGTTTTTGAAAACACTACTAATAATCATTTTGTAATATCACACTATTACACTCTTCTTTTAAACTTATAGCCTTTGTTTGGATAATGGCGTCTAAGACTAAAACAACATTTTTTAACAAAATGGAAACGCTGGAATTTCCAGCATGTTCGCTACAAAACGCCAAAAACACAAACGGGGCCATAATCATTTAAAGTATGACATAAACCTCATTTGTATAACTTACATACATTATATATATATATATATATATATATATATATAGAGAGAGAGAGAGAGAGAGCAGTTCACATCAGGAGTTCCTGATGAGAAGCCCCGTGCGGACAGGACCATCAGAGGGTCTTCCCGGTGGAATGTTTTTATGAAATTTTTTGAGCATGTTCCTCATCAAGTCTAGTTTGTCCATACCAAATTTTAGCTCAAAATTCGATCGGGAAGGCAGTCAAATAAATCCTGGAAAACTATGGCTCATTCTGCGCACATATAAAGTGCAGTATGTTTCCAGGATTTATTTGACTGACTTCCCGATCGAATTTTGAGCTGAAATTTGGTATGGACAAACTAGACTTGATGAGGAACATGCTCAAAAAAATTCATCAAAAAATCCCACCGGGAAGACCCTCTGATGGGCTTGTCCGCACAGGGCTTCTCTTCAGGAGCTCCTGATAGGAACGAGACTCTCTCTCTCTATATATATATATATATATATATATATATATATATATACACACACACACATATATATACATATATATATACTAGCGGGAGCACGCGCGTTGCGCGAGTATTCAGGCCCAACGCGCAAAATTAAAGGGAAAACACGGCACGATACATACATAACCATAAGAGTTGATTGGTATGACCTCGGTATCATTGGTATGCGCTCGACATAATTGGTGGCGGAAGCTTGGGAAATGCTTGATTCTAAAAAACGGACAAGTCCACTTATTGCAGACCCCGAGCTCCCGGGAGGTCGGACTCAGTTTTCTGCCCTATCAACGTAATTACTGAGCCATGCCTTTTGGAGACCTCGGGGAGGTTGAGGTCAGGGTCAAAGTTCACTTTATCCAGGTGATTCTTGAACTATGTATTTTGAATACCTCGATGAGGTCGAGGTCGGCTACGGTTTCATCCTGTCCAGTTGATTCTTGAGCTCAAGTAAATTGGAGACCTTGGGGAGGTCGAGGTCAGCCACATGTTCAACTTATCCAGGGGATTTTTGAGGTAAGTGTTTTAGAAACCATGGTAAGGTCAGGGTCGGGCTCCGCCTTATCAATGGTTCAATGATCTAAGGTTGTCAAGGTCGGGTCGGTAATTTACTAACCTCGGGGGGTTGAGGTCAGGCTCATAGTTTGGCGTCTCTGGATGATTTCTGAGCTCAACATTTTCCCGACCTCGGGGTCGGGGTCGGGCAAACTCTGACCTTAGGTATTCCACAATGTCCTTACAACCTCTGATTGGCTCATATTAGTTTTATTATTCAAAAAAGTAAATCGTATTATCTTACTCTACACTTATCACTTTTATTGTGCTTATTTTATAATAGGAAAAATAACTTTAATTAATATCAATGATCATCCATAAACCAATAATATGATATACAAGTTGAAATGATTTTTAATAATATCAACTATTTGAACAAAAAAAAATATTATGGAGTCACTTTTCATCAAGAAATTCTTTAAGACATTAAAAACTAATATCAAACTATCAAATAAGTGATATTTGGAAATACAATCACTTATTTGATATTTTGATACTTGTTTTTGATAAATTAAATAACTGAATTTTCATTGAAAAATTGCTACATATCACTTTTTGGTATATATTTATATAGTTGGTATTATTAAAAGTAATTGCGAAGTATTATTATTTTTGGTTCATGAAAGATAGTTTGTATTATTTAAAGTTATTTTCCTTTTATTTTTGGCCGAGCTCATACCAGGGGGTCACAAGAGCTCAACAGAGCATATACTTGGCCGAGCTCATACTTGGGGTCGTAATAGCCCAACCGACCTCATACTAGCTCGCACATAACAGGGAAGTAGCTTATTAGAATTAGTTTTCATGCATTATGATTATCATACGAGGCAGAGCTCATACTAGGCCGAGGTCATACATAACTGGGAAGTAGATCCTTAGAATCAGTTTATATGCATTATCATTTTTCTATTAATAGAGTAGTCAAATTAGTTTGTATGCATTGTGATTTTTCTAATAATTACGTAGTTAATTAAATAGACTGAGGTCACACAAGGGGTCATACTAGGTCGGGCTCATACTAGCTCATACATAACTGGGAAGTAGCTTATTAGAATTAGTTTCTATGCATTAGAACTAGTAGTCAAATAGTTTGTATGCGTTATGATTTTTGTATTGATATATTTGTCAAATAATTAATTAACTAGACCAAGGTCATAAGATCCCAGCTGAGCTGATACTTGGCTGAGCTCATACCAGGGGGTCACAAGAGCTCAGCCGAGCTTATACCTGGTCGAGCTCATACTTGGGGTCATAATAGCTCGGCCGACCTCATACTAGCTCGTACATAAAAGGGAAGTAGCTTATTAGAATTAGTTTCTACGCATTATGAATATCATACGAGGCAGAGCTCATACTAGGCCGAGGTCATGCATAACTGGGAAGTAGATCCTTAGAATCAGTTTATATGCATTATCATTTTTCTATTAATAGAGTAGTCAAATTAGTTTGTATGCATTGTGATTTTTCTAATCATTACTTAGTTAATTAACTAGACCGAGATCACACAAGGGGATCATACATAACTGGGAAGTGGGAAGTAGCTTATTAGAATTAGTTTATATGCATTGTGATTTTTCTATTAATATTGTAGTCAAATAGTTTGTAGGCGTTATGATTTTTGTTTTGATATATTTGTCAAATAATTAATTAAGTAGTCCGAGGTCATAAGATCCCAGCCGAGCTGATACTTGGCCGAGCTCATACCAGGGGGTCACAAGAGCTCAACCGAGCTTATACCTGGCCGAGCTCATACTTGGGGTCATAATAGCCCAGCCGACCTCATACTAGCTCGTACATAAAAGGGAAGTAGCTTATTAGAATTAGTTTCTACGCATTATGAATATCATACGAGGCAGAGCTCATACTAGGCCGAGGTCATGCATAACTAGGAAGTAGATCCTTAGAATCAGTTTATATGCATTATCATTTTTCTATTAATAGAGTAGTCAAATAGAGATTGTTAGAATAAGTTTGAATGCAGTATCATTTTTCTATTAATGGAGTAGTCAAATAGATATTGTTAGAATTAGTTTGTATGCATTGGGATTTTTCTAATCATTACTTGGTTAATTAACTAGACCGAGATCACATAAGGGGATCATACATAACTGGGAAGTGGGAAGTAGCTTATTAGAATTAGTTTCTATGCATTATGATTTTTCTATTAATATTGCAGTCAAATAGTTTGTAGGCGTTATGATTTTTGTTTTGATATATTTGTCAAATAATTAATTAACTAGACCGAGGTCATAAGATCCCAGGAGAGCTGATACTTGGTCGAGCTCATACCAGGGGGTCACAAGAGCTCAACAGAGCATATACTTGGCCGAGCTCATACTTAGGGTCATAATAGCCCAGCTGAGCTCATACTAGCTCGTACATAACAGGGAAGTAGCTTATTAGAATTAGTTTCTACGCATTATGATTATCATACTAGGCCGAGGTCATACATAACTGAGAAGTATATCCTTAGAATCAGTTTATATACATTATCATTTTTCTATTAATAGAGTAGTCAAATAGAGATTGTTAGAATTAGTTTGTATGCATTGTGATTTTTGTATTGATAGATTTGTCAAATAATTAATTAACTAGACCGAGGTCATACGTTCCCAGTCGAGCTGATACTTGGCCGAGCTCATACCAGGGGGTCACAAGAGCTCACCCGAGCTTATACCTGGCCGAGCTCATACTTGGGTCATAATAGCCCAGCCGACCTCAAACTAGCTCGTACATAACAGGGAAGTAGCTTATTAGAATTAGCGTCTCTGGATGAATTCGCTTATTAGTTTGGCGTCTCTGGATGATTTCTGAGCTCAACATTTTCCCGACCTCGGGGTCGGGGTCGGGCAAACTCTGACCTTAGGTATTCCACAATGTCCTTACAACCTCACAGCCTGATTCTTACCTCTCCATTCGTTCTTCGTGGAGCATCTTGGAGCTCCTCTAATGGCTGCTCACCAGTTGCCTTCTCTTCCTCTGTGAGCTTTCCTCTCCCTCTCTTGATATGTGTTTGGGAAATGTAAATATTTGGCTATGTTTGCGTTTATGTTCTTTATTGTGTCATTAAATTCCAGTAAATGCTTTCTGGGTATTGTGCAAGAAGTTGGCTTTAGATATAAAATGCTTCTGTGAAATGAAGGGTTCATTAAAATTTCAAAACATTTAAGAATTTAGGGAGATTATGTATTATTTATATAAAAATGTGACATGTGATCCTATATGAATAAGGATTTTTTGTTGTGCTACGTGCAGATTTTAATGGTGTGCACAGATTGGGTTTTAGTTAATTATTGTAAATTCTCCTTGTATAAGTAACATTTGCATGCTTCCTAATTAGGGGAGATATTGTGTTATTATTTCTCTTCACTTTTTGTTTCTGATTTTCTATATACTTCTCTTTGAAGAGTTAAATAGCTGGTTTCTAAAATCCAAAGATGCTAGCTTGGTAACCTCATACTTCATCTCAACCCATTTAATTCAGTCAATTTGATTTTGAAAACTTAAATGAAAGCCTTGTATACACGTTCTTCTCCATTTGTTTTTACACCACAGATTCACAATGTAATTGTATCTTTGCTGTAGGAAACTGAGTGAAGGAAAATGCACCAAATCAAGCAAAAACCTGGTGGTGGAAGCTAGAAGCAAAAGTTGCCGCACACTATCATCCTCTGCTTCTGCCCAAGGTAGCATGAGCTATGTATGCCTTTGCAGCACACTCATTCTAGTAGCGTCAACTGTCAAGATAATAAGATATCCTTCACCAACTAAATTTAAAGACATTACCTCATATATTAGGTCTAGGGTCTAGGCGTCTAGCATTAATCCTCATATCGAGTTTGTTTTTTAGATGAAACGTCATGTTGCAACTAAACCCTGCTATTTCTTTTAATGATGATGTTGATATAGAGTTGAGATGCTTTGAAGTTGAAAATGAGGAGGAGGAGGAATTGATGAGTCCTCTCCAAGGGGGATTATTAAGGCTTGCATGAGGTTCCGAGGAAACAAACATGTTGAATCTCATGAAAGAAGTAATGGATCTCAATGTGTAGTCCATTCATCAAATTCACGGATACGTTCACGGTGGAATAAATTCTTCAAGTTGGGGAAAAAAATTCCATGAAGCGGCTACCTTCCTTCCCACCTTTTGCGACAGGGATGTCAAGAAGAAAGTTCAAAAGCATGAGAGAAAATGTAGACGTTAATTTGTGCCCCAAAAAACCTTCCTTGACAATTTTCTCACTGCTTGAGCTGAAGACATCGACCAACCATTTCTATAAAGGTTTCAATTTATATTTATATGTCTTTTGTTCAATGTAATGGCCTCATGGCTTATATTTTATTCTGAATGTTTTTACCAGAGAAAGGTTTGCTTTTATGGGTCGTGCTTGGTACAGCCAATTTGTACAAGTTCACAAGTTTTGCTCACACAAACAAAATAGTTTATGCTTATGGGAGTAGATTGTGTAATTTTTTTGCAATTTTTTTGTTCTCAGAAATACAAAACCACACAAAAAAAATCTTGTATGTGTGAAAAACACTTGTTATACACATAGCATTTTTTTTTTAAATTTTCGTGTCCATTTCGTGGGGGCAAGGATTGAGACTATTTACTTGTAGATTTAATTAATTTCTTTATTTTGATAGAAAACTTGATTGGAAAGGTAGGGTATGCTGAGGTTTTCAAGGGATGCTTGCCAGATGGCCAGCTCATAGCAGTTAAGCGCATGAATAAAGGATCATTGGAAGACCAAGTAGGAAACTTTCTATCTGAAATAACTACTAGTGGCACATTACACTTTTAAGATCTTTTTAATCACTAAAAGCTACTGAGTAATAGTTAACAAAAAGTTTATATTAGTATTTTTTCAGCTATTTGTGCACACTCATATCTTTACTCTCATATTTTTATCTCCCATATTTTTCATTACTCACACATATCTCATATTCGATCTTCACTAAATTAAAATAATTATTTTATCTTTATCTCTTCCATGTCACCTCTCATTGGAGCCTAGGTACACATTGTGCATATATTTGTTGTTTGGGAAAAGCATATTAATATTGATTTCACTTGGTGAAAAGTATATTCCTTTTTTGTCCGATGAGTAATAGATATGTGACTTTCCTCTTTTCTCCTTCTAGCTCTATGATCATAGATTTTTAGTTGCTTATAATCCTTACAACTACTAAAAAAGTACTTTTCAATTTTCGTTTTATAAAAGTTAAAAAACAACTTTTGACTCGAAATCCTCAAAACTGATTAAATACTTGGTCACATACGGGCATCCTCATTGGTAGGATTATTAAGAGATTAAATCGATGATGTGGCAGTTTTTTTAGAAAATTATCATTGAGTGATATGAATTATTTAATGAGATTATTTGGTACAATAATCTGAGATCAAAATATGAATCCGGATTATTTTTGGATTATTTGAAAAGTATATGTAATAGAGGTTAGTGGAGGACAGAGAAAAAGCAGATTATTTGAATATGATGATTGAGAGACATAACCGAATTTTGAGATTATTTAAACATTAATTACGTAACAATAATTAGATGGTAAGAATCATAGAACAAAAATGATTATTAGAGATTATGGATGAAGATGCTCTAAGTTGTTTAATAAGTTAATACTTAACTATACACATTAAGTATTGGACAACTAATGTGTAATGGATCTCAACTTTTCAATAATGTTTATTTGTTCTATTTCTATTTCTATTTCTAAAATAACTGTTTTGTATATGAGTTTCGTTGAGAAGAAGTGAGACTACACCAACACACCAAAATCTAAATGAATAATCAAACTAATTTCATAGCGTACTTAAATTAACTTTATTTTAACATGTTAAATGTGAAATTGATAAAACTGTCATGACATTTTAATATTAGTTAGATTTACTTCGTATCAATTTTAACCAACAAACAAAATAAATTATATGATACTCCCTCCATCCCTATATTGTCTTCAAATTTTTATTTCTCTTCCGTCCTAAAATTATCTCTTTTTTTTCCCATGTTGCAAAAAAATGTGTGGTTCATAACTATTCTTACATATATTTCTCTCTCCTCTTGAACAATTCTTCACCATACAATTTCCACAATCATAATTTATGTGCTCAGCCAATGGAGAAGTTTTTATAGGGACGGGGGAATAATATCTTTAGTTTTGTGCACATAACACAAAAATTGAAGAAAATTTGTAGAAAAAGAGATTGAATTAAGAAAAATTGTAACCGTACAAAAAATTTGTATATATTTAGTACAAATTTATGCATAGTTGTCTAGCACATGCCAAATACATTGTGATCTCCCAAATTTATACAGTGGAATGATGGCATCAATGTCGATCTCCCGAATTTATACAGTGGAATGATGACATCACTACTGATCTCCCAAAGAGGAGGTGGTAGGTTCGAATCTTATCCCAATCAAGGATGTTGGCATTAACAAGAGCACATGCTAGTCCTATCCCAATCTATTATAGCATGTATAATAGATTTAGAAAAGTGTTTCAAAAAAAAAGTTACCAAGCACACAAGTGCTAGACAAGTCGATTGTTACCTATATGTGTATACAGTGATCTCCGATATTTAGGTCCGCCATATGAATATATACACCTTCCATTTGCTTGTATACATATACAACTCGTGCAACTAAATGTAGCAATTGGTTTTGGTTTTTTTTTTTTGGTTTTTGTTCAAAAAACATTGTTGTTTGAATTAATTTGAGAAATTTTTGGAGACAATTGTTATTCAAACAGTTGTGGGACCCCATGGCATTGGATGTATCTTTCAAGAGAGAGAAAGAGAAGGTAACACGGAGTACCAGTTTGGAGGAAGGGAAAAAGCGAAGAGAAGAGGGAGAAAACGTTTTCCAGTTCAAAAGGTCAAACGCACAACCATAAAACCATCTCCTCTTGTCATCTACATCTTTCCCGTGCGTGTTCTCCGCTTGATTAATGCTTCATCATCTGATTGTTTACTCACGTCAGCAGCATCGCTCGGCGGCTGACGGAGACCGGCCACGGTGGCTACACTGACGATTCATCACCGACACCAACATCAGCAGCAGCGCAGGAAGCAGATATACAATCTGTGTTACTTCCATTGGCAACGTCTGGTTCGTTTCATTCCTTGGTTGTTCTTCGAGTTTATTATGAAGAAAAGCCAGAGTATCAATAGTAACGTGAATAATAAGGTGAAGAATGGGGCTACCAATGGCTTTCTTCCAAATTCTTTCAAGTTCATATCCTCCTGCATCAAAACTGTGTCGTCTAACGTGCGATGTGCGGGAGCTTCCGTGGCCGGTTCCATCTCCGCCGCTGCCTCCGACTCGGATGATCATCGCAAGGACCAGGTCTTAAACACTTCATCGCTTTGATGATTCAAGTTTACTGAGTAGTTGTTACTTAATTTCTACCTGGATTTTGCTTACGTGCTGGATTCGTTTATAGATGTGTCGATTTTCTCCATTTTTGTACGGCAAATCATGATATCAATTCACTCATTCATTTCCAGATTGCTGGATTGACGTCTTTCATATTTCACAGGGTTGTAGCCTTCTGACAGGCTGTATTTGGTTACTACTTACTTCAAGTGAATTTCAGTGCTTATTTGTGTTAACAAAAGCTATTGTTTGGGGACATTGAGTTTTTTTTTTTTTTTTGAAATGGGACATTGAGCTTTGTACATGCGTAGTTGTAACTTAGGGAGTATAAGATTGTAGATAGATGCTTCTGGATAATAAGATATGTTACTTGAGATCGAAAGGAATCTTAGGAACTCCATTTTACTGTTCAACATGTGGTATTGTTTTAATTTTGAACTGCTGAAAAGCATCTTTTTACACTCACTAACTGTATTTTATTGTAACACAATATCATGGCAAGTATTAGTTACATGTGCATTAACTGTAATTAAGATCTAAGTAGCATATTTCTCTCTTGAGGTTGCAGCATCCTTTCTCCCTTATACTGATTTTTTTCATCATCTATCACACCCTCCATGCATGATATGAAAGTGTGAAAGTAAAATATTGTTATGAAATCCTTGACCTCCTATTGCAATGTTCAAAATTGCATCCTGAGGCTAAGCATTGAAGCAATACCAAGAATTGGCGATGTTGCTCAACATATAGAGAGCAATATCTAGAAATTGGCGATGTCGCTCAACATATAGAGAGCAATACCTAGAAACTGGCGATGTGGCTCAACATATTGAGATCAATACCTAGGTTTTGCGAAATATCCTACTGTGGCTTGCCATATCAATAACTCAGTTAGTCTTAATAGAGGATTATGCCATACAGTTAGTCAGTTATTGAAACAAGTTTGGAGTTAAAAAAAGAGTCACCAACCCTATAACAGAAAACGAGCCATCTTTCTCCAGGTTGCCTCTCCTCCGTGCACCAACCCAAGAAAGCCTTTGCCCCCATGGTGAATTGCAAGAGTTTTTTTGTTATTTCATAACTTTATTTTTCATGCTTTGACTCACATTTCCTTCATGGTTGCATCACATATATACACTCATATGCATACCTAGGTTATATAAAATACTCCACCCTCATGGCAAATACTAAAATAATCAACTCTCCACATACTTGGATATACTGAAGGACTCGACCCCTCATATCCTTCTTAATCAATTCAACAACTTATTTATTTCCTTCTATCTTCTTCTATCCATAAAACATTACACTCAAATCCCCTAGAGGTGAATATTGTATCTGATACGTTAATGGGCTGATCCTGGGATTATTGTTTTCCTATTAGTATTGATATTTTATTTTAGGTAATATTTTTGCATGCATCATTGTAATAAGTTAACAAGATACTTGCTCTCCAAGGCTCTTGGGATAAGAATCAATAGAGGGGCTCTATTTATTGATAGGATCATCAATAGTTTTGGAGTTGGTGCTTGTCTCACTTGCCATGTTCAGGAAGGAACATTAGTCTTCCAAGGGCGAGTAGTTCTTTATCTTCACACCTCTTATCTTTCAATATTCTTGCTATTCATCTCCCAATGCCCAACCACGCTTTCAACAGTATCTCCTTTTTCATAATATTTGTTCTTTTAAAATGGCTATGTAAGTGTTCAATAGAAATTGACTGGGGACTGCGCACTAACCACTTCACTAGTTCACTGACTCCGCTTGTGCTCAGTGTCAACTGTCAATTACTTTTTAGCTAGAGCCTTAGTGGGAAGTACTCACTGTCGAATGTATTATGTAAAATGTGGATTTTGTCTCAATGTATACATTCAAAATTTTTTCCTTTTATAATGTTTACCCAATAGATTATTAAATATATCAATAGTTAAAAATTAAAATCATGCATTGTCAAACTGATGCATCTATTAGAATGGAGATAGGATTGTGTAAGGCTTGACCACTTGAGTTCATGGTTTTGGTGGTGGTAGGACTTGATCTTTGACTTGTTTCTGGATTTGACGATACAATTTCTTGAGTATTAATGAATATGGTATTAAATTATGATTATTTTTATTTTTTTTAAGTACTTAAAACCATTTTGTAATCATGTTACATAAACTTTTACATTAAACTGAGGCATGCTCAATGATACGTACAACTGTATGCATGATGAGTTTGGATCCTCTCTTCATCCTACCAATCAGCCTCATCCACGTAATACACACGGTTTATATGGAACTTATATTTGGTTGACATTTAATGCTTAAAATGTGTAGTTATATACTCGCGTACATAGATTCTAGAATTCTGACACTGTATTGTGTTCTCTTTGTCTGCCTTCTTCTAGAAAAAAGGTGTGGTTCTATACTTCTAGGAGAATAACAAAAGGAGTATTGAAGCCATACAATTGTATCCCAGCAATGTAGGAGAAAAAGAAAATGTATTGTTTACTATCTTGTCAAAAAAGAAACAGTCAATTTTTTACGGGAAGTTTGTGAAGAAAAAGAAATTCAACCATAGCAGCTCTTTTCTACTCTGTGGAGTCCCTTCTATGGGATTCAACACTCTTATTGTTTAGATTTTTTATTGTTTTTGGCTTCAATGAATAATAGCTTTTTATGTTTGTAACATTGAAGTTGCTGTGTTCTCATCAATCCTCTCGGATTTGCACACCGACAAGCAGGTTTTATGGGCTTGCTTTGACAAACTAGAATTATCTCCCTCATCATTCAAAAACATCCTGCTGATTGGTTATTCCAATGGGTTTCAAGTCTTGGATGTTGAAGATGCTTCTAATGTATGCGAACTGGTCTCTCAGCGCGATGATCCAGTAACATTTCTGCAGATGCAACCCATCCCTACAAAGTCTGATAGCCATGAGGGATATAGAAACTCACATCCCATGCTCTTGGTGGTGGCTTGTGGTGAAGCAGCTCAGCCCATTCCTGCTCAAAGTGGGAGGGATGTCATTATTGAGCCTCAAGCAGGAAACAATATGAACTTGCCTACTACATCTACGCTTAGATTTTATTCTCTAAGGTCCCACAATTACGTTCACATTTTGCGATTCAGGTCTGCTGTTTATATGGTTAGAGCTAGTCCACATATAGTTGCTGTTGGCCTCGCGACACAGGTGAACATCTTTAATTTTCCCCTCGAATGATCAATTATTTGGTACATACAAATAGTACAATGAATTTCTTCCAGCATAAGAACACCCATTAGTCTTCTAAACTACAACTATTCATTAGACTTGTTGCTACCTTAACTCTAAATGTCTTCATGTGTTCTTGTAGTGATCAAGTTTTTGCTATACTGAACATTCTAATATTTTTGCTGGTAGATATATTGCTTTGATGCCACCACCCTGGAGAATAAATTTAGTGTGCTCACCTATCCTGTGCCTCAGCCTGGCGGTCAGGGTTTTACTGGAGTCAATATTGGCTATGGTCCAATGGCTGTAGGTCCAAGGTGGTTAGCTTATTCATCAAACAATCCAATGATAGCAAACACAGGACGATTAAGTCCACAAAGTCTTAGTCCTTCTCCAGGTGTTAGCCCATCTACATCTCCAGGTAGTGGAAACCTGGTAGCTAGATATGCCATGGAGTCTAGTAAACAACTTGCTTCTGGATTAATCAATCTTGGAGACATGGGCTATAAGACTTTTTCAAAGTATTGTCATGAGCTTCTTCCTGATGGCTCCAATTTACCTGCATCATCAAGCACTGTCTGGAATGTGGGAAGGGGTCCACTTCACTCAAATGAAACCGATGCAGCTGGGATGGTTAGTCTCACTAGTCACTAATAATTTTGGATTACAAAAACTTTAATTTTAGGTTAGTTAGATATAAATAGATCTGTTTTTACTTAACCACTTCACTATTACTCTATATGGTGGGATTTTACCGGGGTGGTAGTTTTGGTTGTATCGAAATAGTCTACTGCTAATATTGCTGACATTTGTTTTTTTTCCTGATCACCCTTTTTCATATTCAAGTAATGCAAGCCACACATTTTCAACACGTTTTGAGAATAATAAAATGGTTAAGCAGGTTCTGCCTTTTGTGAGCTGATGTGTAACTCCGTTAACTTTCACAATGCAGAGGAACTTGCTTGAGAAGGGATGCGCCTTAAAAACTGATCTTTGCCGTTACAGATTATATTTGATTTTCCCATAATGTAGTCTTTCACAAGATTAACTGTTGAAGCCTGAACTATGACTTATGAAGAGTGGTTGTTTCTTTGTTGTAGTAGCCAAGCATTGTGATTGACGACATATCGCCTTGATTTAACTAGCCCACATACATTAATTGATTGTGGCACCCAGATTCTTCTTTTTTAAATTCGCCCTGAAAATGAAAAGGTCTAAATTAATTCCTCATCTGAAGAAGTACTAATATCGCATTAATCAGCATTAAATTTGATTGAAGTGTTACATTTCTAAAATAGTAAAATGTAGAGTTCAGTGGTTACCCCTGATCTAAAAGAACTATTAATCTGATGTGTTTATTGCAGGTTGTCATTAAAGATTTCATATCCAGAACTATAATTTCACAATTTAGGGCGCATACCAGCCCTATATCTGCTCTATGTTTTGACCCTAGTGGCACTCTCTTGGTCACTGCTTCCATACACGGTAACAATATAAATATATACCGGATATTCCCCAATTGTTCTCAGAATGGATCAGGTGCACTTAACAATGACTGGAGTTCTTCTCATGTCCACCTCTACAAGCTCCATCGAGGCGTGACTCCAGCTGTGTGTATCTTGTGCCTCTTAATAATGTTGTAACACGTTTTTATTGTTGACTTATATTCTAGGCATTTTTCATCCTCTAACACAATGTGGTTTTGTAACAGGTGATACAGGACATTTGTTTTAGTAACTTTAGTCAATGGGTAGGTATTATTTCAACTAAGGGGACATGTCATATTTTTGTACTATCCCCTTTTGGTGGTGAGACAGGGCTTCAGCTACAGAGTACTCATGTTAATGGAACAACACTGACACCTATACTTTCTATGCCATGGTGGTCTGCTTCTTCTTTTTCAACAAATGCACACTCTTCTTGCCCCCCACCAACACCTATCACACTGTCTGTCGTTAGCAGGATAAAAAATGTCTCTGGTTGGCTTAATTCAGTAAGCAGTGTGGCATCTTCTGCAGCAGGAAGGGTTTCTGTACCTTCTGGTGTTGTTGCAGCTGTCTTTCATAGTTGCATACACCGAGATGTGCAGCATGCTCCCCAAAATCCGAACGCTTTAGAACATTTGTTGGCCTTCACTCCCAGTGGACATCTAATTCAATATGAAATGATTTCTTCTCTTGGTCGAGAGCAGGGCCAGTCTTCTTTGAAAAGTGGTACTGGCCACTTAATGCAGATGCTAGAGGATGATCTGGGAGTTAAAGTTGAGCCTGTACAATGGTGGGATGTTTGTCGAAGGGCAGACTGGCCTGAAAGAGAGGAGTGTGTTCAGGAAATCTCTCTCGGGAACCGTGGGTGCATGGAAACTGTCATAGATAATTCTGCCAGTGAAGATGATGACATTGGAGGTAAGGATATACCAAAGCCGCATGATCAGTCTCACTGGTATCTTTCAAATGCCGAAGTTCAGTCAAGGTCTTGGAGGATACCAATTTGGCAGAAGTCTAAGGTAGAGAACTACAGCTACCACTTATAGCCTTCATTGTACAGACCTTTAAGGTTTACTATAAAGAGTTATGTACCAATGATCATTTCATTTGCTTTAGATATGCTTCTATACGTTGAGTTTCCAAGGGAATGCAGAACATTATATCGATCAGCTTTCTTCCAGCGGGGAGATTGAAATCGAGAATATTTCTCTTAATGAAGTCGAAATAAAGCGCAAGGATTTGCTACCTGTATTTCACCATTTTCAGAGGGTTCACACAAATTGCAATGATGAAAGGTAATCTGGACCTGCCAGGCTGCCAGCTCACTTCCCCATGAATGCTTATACAACTTTTTTGTTCACTTCTTTGGTTTGTCAGAAGAATTATGAACTTGAGTTTTCCTTTTTTATACTATCATGTCGGATATAGTATATCCTATTTGGGTAGACCTTTTGCAGTAACTTTCCTTTCACAATGTTCTATTATTAGATCTGGCTAAAGGCGAGCTAAGTTCCTTACACCCTGCACTTGGTCCACATATTGTTGTTACCATTTTCTTGATTTATATTGAAAAGTAGGCACTTGGGCCACTTACGTTTCACAAAACATTGGGTTTTCTTTCTACCTACCACCTCATCGGGTGGATATAAACTCGCAAGATCGTTAATATTACCGAAGAAGCCACTTGTACTCATCAATTCAGAGAAAATTTATGCTTCCCCTATTCTCTAATTGAGAAATGAATCATTGGATTCGGTTTTCTTTATAGGCTCCGGCCAAATTTTTAACAGGAAATTAGTCTCAGAATGACATTATGCTTTATCTTAGGCTGTAGGCCTGTAGTAATTCACTTTTAAGAGGTAATGAAGTCCGATATTTGAAGGAAAACATGATTTGGCGTGCTTATTTTTCATGGATGCAGTTGTGAGTTTGAGTAGTTAACAGGACAAACTTTTATGAGTTTGAGTAGTCTATGTAAGGCCATATGATTTCTTAACTTCTATCTCTGTTATGTGTTGGCATTCTCTTATTGATCTCCATCTTTTTTAAATGATATTTTTCATATAAATGATCTTTCTGCAAACTGGTATGCTGAACATTTTTATATTGTGTAGGGTTTCTTTTGATGGCAGATTTTCTGGTTCATCGTACGCTTCTTCCACAGCTAAAGAGAAACCAGAAGTTAGTTCTGCTATTGCAACGGCGGCTCCACAGTGTTTGCTGAAAAAGGCACATGTTGGTAAGTCAGTATAAATTATTACTTCTTGCTTGGCTTAAGGTTTGGTAAAAAATTCACATGCCAGCAACTCAGTTTGTATAAGAAAAGCTTATACTTTTATCCTTTTTCTTTCAGTTGTAGATAAAATGAATGCAATGCCAGTGGCATATCCACAGGTTGACCTAATGGATGAGAATGATGGAGCAAGTGAATCAGGGTTATTGGCCCCATTCACGCTGAACCAAACATCCTCTAGTCCTGAGCTATCCACTAATATCATATCTTCCTTGGAGGAAGTTTACATTGTAAATAGTCCATCTCCCCCCAACAGTGGGTCCCTCTTTGCTGGAGGGACTACTGCTAGGGATGTTCCATCTTCAAACAGTGCTTTTACTAGTGAAGCTTCAAACACAAGCTCTAACCATTCCGATAGGAGTATGAATATTAGCAACGATGAGGGGCCAAATCATGAAGATATGAGTGACCCTGTAGATTTTGCACAGTATTTCAGAGAAGGCTATTGTAAGGCTTCAACTAACCAAGAATCCCGTGAATTTACAAAAGCGGTCACTCATAATGATAGCAGTAATACTCCTTGTGGAAAGGAGAAGGGTGAAGATGATGTGGAAAGTGATGACATGCTTGGTGGGATTTTTGACTTCTCGGAAGAAGGTTTGTGGATCAAATGTGGATATGCTTTTACTTTGTTAATTTGTAAAGCACTGATTACAAGGGTTTTTTCGTTTTTCCCATATGATTACTGTGAGCAAAAAAATATCATTCACTGCAGTGTAAAATTGCATTTTACCATCATCACTACATTCTCTGCAAAAATAATATGGTCACTGCATATTAAAAGTCAGATTTTTGTTCATTTTCTTAATTTAGCCATTAAAAGTCAGGTTTTTGTCTTTAGTTCTGATTATAAACTATAGTGAATATGTTATGGGAAAAGAGAAAAGTCCCTCTTAATTGTTCTTGTTTTTATTTTTAGTAAAAAGCTGGTAGTGCTGAATGGTTCTAGTTGTTATCATTGTTAACCACTATCTGTTGCTGGCTCCACTTATTGCTAATATTTTTCTTCCCTCAGGTTGATGCATGACTTCAGATAATCTGCTGGTGTCATGCTCCACTATCAGAATCTTTTAAAGCATTGTCCAGTGCATATGAATCTCATGTTCATCCCTTTCCAATAGGACAAAAATGCTACTGACTATTGTGACATTTGCTTAGTCCATTTTTTTGCCGGAGCAACAAATGCCCGGTTTCTCTGCATGTAATTCATATGTACATATGCTGTATATTCAAATTCTTCACAAATGATTGGCGTGGACAGTTGTTTGTCTGTAATGTTCAACTTTATTTGTTCTTTGGAAAAGAAAAGAAAAAGTGAGAAAATAAATCAAAAAGTGAGAACCAGCTTAGTTTATTTGTTTATTGGCTGAGAAGTACTTTTGTTTGTTGTATGCAATGATGCCCCCCTCCACACACTGAAGTAGTGACAGGTCGAAACTCAGCAGTTGAGCGGATGACAAAAGATGCTTCATTTCTGACTGAAAGGAGCACGGTTTAGGGGCTTGATGGTATATGAGAATTCATACTGGCATTTCATGTACATAACAAATATGGCTAATAATATCTGATAAGTGCAACTTATTGCACGTTTTGTGTGTGTGTGCCTTAACTGAAAACTGGGTTGTTCAACCGTTTGGTTGACATGGAGTGTGGCAGTATACTATTATGTGAACAGAATTATGAAGGAATCAACTATCTATCTATAATTCTTCAAAAAAACAAAAACTATGTTTTGTGTTTTGTTTGTGACCAATAGGCAATAGTACATTAGCACTGAGCATATGAAATTGACTAGCACGTTTATGCTGGACTCTACTCTAGGTGCACATCACCTGCATCTGACTTCTGTCTTGTGTAACTGTGTATGTAAACAAATTCCGTGTGGTTCTTTAACAATGTTCCATTTGGATGGAGAAGGTTGTAGAAGGGAAGAGATTGATCGAGCCTATAAAAATCCAAATAGCATGTGATTGTATAACATTTCTATCATCTTTTGTTTGCCACTAGTAACACTTTGTTTATCAATATACAGATATTGGTTAAATCTTCCGAACACTGAAACAGATAATTCCCAGCTTCTGCAAAACTTAAAGGTTTGGTATATGGTCCCTAATTTGGCATTTTCTCATTTTAACCATGTTAGACAAATGCTGCAAAGTATAATATAAAAGGATCCCAAAAGACCTACTGACCTAGTAAGGATTTAACCATTGCAGCTAAAATTGTACATTTGTACGGAGTACAAGGTCTGTAGGAAATAGAAGTAAAACAATGACATTAATTACTTATATTTAGATTAAAAAATAGTACTCACTTTGGAGATACAAATCATTTAAACTCTCATTTAGGATAATTTCTTTATAGGAATGATAGAGTATATGGGCCTGGACCCCATGACCCACATACTCATTGGCCCAAAAGACACCAGCAGGATACCCGCATCGGCCAAGGCACGCGACGTCCAAGAAAGAAGATATCACCCGGATCCTTTGGGCGAAACCCAGAATCCGCATCGTCCATGGACCGCATCGTCCAGGACCGCATCGTCCATGGACCGCATCGTCCAGGACCGCATCGTCCATGGACCGCATCGTCCGGACTTCGTCCAGGCAGAATGTATTTTTCATTGTATTTACTAAGTATTGTACACAGCCCATTAGTGGCCTTATTTCGCCCAAAGAAGGCATGATTATTGTAATGGGCCTCCTAAGCCCAGAGCTAGGGGCCCAAATCCACATTTTTCCCTATAAATAGACCCCTTGGGGCTAATTATACAGGATTGAGAAATATAATTACTCACTTCTCTCTCTAGCTCTCACTTCTCTCTAGAATTAATACTCTATCAAGTAATATTTTATTTAATGTGTGACTTGTTTTATTACAAATTTTTTGGAGATGGAAACTCAAACTTGTGTTTTTTGACGTAATATTAGGATGTTTTTACTTAGACTGTAATTTGCCCCAGACCAGACCAGTCCAGACCAGTTTAGACCAGACCAGACCAGACCAGACTTGGATAGTTATAAAAATACAAAGAAACCAGACCTTACCAGACCAGACCAGACCAGTTCAGACCAGATCAGACCAGACCAGACCAAACCAACAAATTATAAAAACATCCTTACTTACACATTCAATAATAAAGTAAGGTTTTGTATAAAAACAGATGCTATAATAGCTAGGTTAGAAAGAATTTTCCTAAAAAGTAAGGTTTTGTAGCTTTGATCTAAAGATGGTAACAGTACTAATGATACAAATATTTTGTTAAAATGAAATAGATATTTTTTTACGAGTATTACCTTACAACCCTAAACTGGTGATGCTATTTGAAATTGATGGATTTTGATAAATGATTAATGAGTGAATAAGATGATTACATCAAATATTCAAAATACTTTTGGTAAAATATCATTTGAGTTAGCAACAACAACAATGTGATTTTGTTGTGGTTGAGTTCCTAGTTAGCTTTTTTCCGTTTTAAACGCGTTTTAAACACGTACCGTTTTTTGACCATAAAAACACGTTTAAAAATGAGGGGAAATGTCGGTCCGTTTAAAAAGGAAAAAAATTCTTACTTCCCGTATAAAACGTATTTTTCCCATATTTTACAAAAAACATAAACATGAATTGGCCAATTGAATGAATGCACTAAATGCATAGAAGATCAACAATAGTGTAAAAGTAAAAATGAAAACGTCCACCCTATGATCTTGTGTTTTTGTATTGTTACAGTGCAATTATGAAATACTAAAATTAATTGTATGATGGCTAAAGCTAGCATCCTGAAATACTAAAACTTACGTAGTAATATACTACAAGATTTCTGATATTTTTTTAAGCTAGCATATCAAAATTAAGATTTTTCTAAACCTAACGTTTTTTTAGCATAAGCTTTTACACAAACAATAATAAGTGTAACAATCACACAACTTTTGTCATATGTCATCTTAATGAAAATGATGAGTTTAACGTGAGTATTATTATTTGATGATCATATAAAGATAATGATTTTTTGACATTATTTTTCAAAATTATGTCCTAGACCTGATTACTGTTTTTATTTTTGTCATCGACTTATGCAATTAAGAATTATTCTTGTATGTAATAATGAGATTTGCTACTTGAATATGTGTATACTTTTATTTCTTTTTTACTATATATGTTATTTTATGAAATACTACGTATATCATTTAGATGTTCAAAATAATACCCGTATTTTTCGTCCGAATTTTTGTAGTAGATAACGTATTATACACGTATACGTATTTACATGTTTTTTAAAAGTCAACGTTTTTTTCAATGAATTTTTGACCGTCTTTTTCATTCATGTTACCGAATAAAACGCGTACGTATTAAACCTCGTTTAATTCTCGTGCCGTATTTAACTAACTAGGGTTGAGTTAGCAATACGATTTTGCCTTGTAAGGAAGTATAATTATAGTTAATAGTTTATCACACCCAACATTTGAAGAGTAAAAAACTCAATTAAGTCCTCAAACTATTAAAAACAACTACTCCCTCCGTCCCTTTTTATTTAGCCAAACACCTTTTTTCAAGTCAAAGTTGTTCAACTTTGACCGATTATATATTTATACACGATAATATTGATAATATGAAAATTATATGAAAATGTTCTTTGATGAAAATACTATCATAATAGTATAAATATATTATGTTTTACATAAATATGTTAATTAAAATAATGGATCAAACTTAATCACCTTTGACTGGAAAAGTCAAAGATGGCTAAATAAAAAGGGACGGAGGTAGTATCAAATAAGCCCCCGTACTATGCCAAAAAAGTCGATTATGGTCTCGTACTTTAAAAACACTCAATTAAGTCCTCAAACTATTAAAAAACATTCAATTAAGCCCTTTTGGTCGGTAAGTAACCGGTTTCCCGGTTAAACGGCGACCACGGCGACGATGTGCTTGAACCCCAGCAACGGCAACTGCCGGGAAACGGGTTACATTTAACCGGGAAACCGGTTACTTACCGATCGAAAGGGCTTAAATGAATGTTTTCTAATAGTTCGAGGACTTAATTGAGTGTTTGTAAAGTACGAGGGCCTAATTGACTTTTCCGGTACAGTACGGGGGCTTATTTGATAGTTTTCCCGCTGATAAATTATTTGCCAAACCCGGACACCCAATTTCTACATGTTCTATATTTTTTTTATATATCATAACAATTCGTCTAATAAAAAAGCAAAAGTTGTAAAAAAAATGTACCTCATCCGTCATGTTGGAAGGTTCCCGTGGTCCAATTAGAGGATCGGCCCATGTAACCCCTCTATGGATGAACATCCAAACCCAACAAGAGTATTCAGCGGAGACGGACGTCTCCACAAAACCGTAGCAGCAAAACCTCAACGGGGCCCAAGGAAGATGTGATGTGCGTCGCCACACCTGGCCCCCGGCCACAGAAGACAAAGCCCAAGGCTAATCAACACATTTTTACACAAGGGCCAGAAGACGTACGGCCCACAACCCTTTGCAGCGTTACAAAGGGCAAACCCTAGGTTCAAGGGGACGCTCGTCCCCATAAATAGGCGGGAAACCGAGATCTTGGCGGGAAACACATTAAATGTGGGAGATTTGGTGGTTGAGGCTTCAACCATCCATAGCCCTCCACATCAGCATACCTACCTACCCCTTGGTAGTATAAATAGTAGCATTTATTTCATTGTAAAAGGTTGACAACTTACCCGCCTTAGCATTCTCACATTCAGATAGCTCTTAGCATATCACTCGCAGCTCCTCTATTCGAGTGTGAGACGAACAACCGTTGACCGGCCTTTAGCATAAGTGCAATGTAACCAGGAGTTATTAGACCTTTATAATATTCGGCCCACTATCGCATATATTCCTTGCCCATCTTACTTGCTAGCATCTCAGATCCACACACACTTCCATTCGAAATCCCAGGGCTTACGTGTTGGGCCTACGAGTTGAAAGAATAAACCTCAACAGGTAAGAAAAAGAAAATTCAAAAAAGTAAACATATAAAGCAAAAGTAATTAAAGGGAGATTAGTTGGGGGGTATTGTGAGACGATATGTAATTATAGAGAGTAAATAGTTTTCTAAAATGGAATGGAAACCTTTAAATGAAACATCCAAATAAGAAAAGTGGAAATCCTTCAAAGCGATAGAGGCCGTATATAATATTTGTGACATTGAGTATTTACTAACAAAGTGTATGAATCATATATTAGGCTTGTTTGGCATAGGGTTGTAAACGAATTGAATACCGAGTAATACTATTCGTATTCGTATAACTTGACGAATATTCGAATTCGTATTCGGATATTCGAATCTTAAATTAGATTTGTATTCGATTCGTTAATGATATTTGAATATATTTGTATTCGAAAATTCGAATTCGAATTCGAATATTTGTAG